TCATGTATATTTCAAGATTCTAGGCTTAGATTTCATGTTACATGTGCACTTTTTATTTTGGTAACATTTAATTCACTAGGTGGTCATTTTCAGTTCATTATCTTTCTTTCAGTTGTGACTTTGTTTTATTAACTTCTTAGTCATTTTTTCGAAAAGCTTTCCTGCACCATTTTTTTTTATTGTTTTCGTGTTTATTTTAAGGTAGTAAAAAAGTTTTTTGAAATTCCTTTTGTAGGGTTACATTTGCATAGTATTTTAGTCCATAGGTTTTAGTTTCCATGCATTGTAGTATTTCGGTTTGCATTTAAATTTTTTGCATTTTGTGTTTTGTTTTGCAGAGGGGTCATATGCATATTTTTATTTCTTTTTTAAGTCTATTTTAAGATAGAAATACAATTTTTGTAAATTCCTTAGATAGGGTCACATTTGTATAGTGTTCTAGCTCATAGGTAGCATGTAGTATGCATTTTCTAGTTTAGTTTTGTATTGAATTTTTCTGCCCAATTTGGTTCCTTTTTTGCATTAGCTTCTTATAGCTTTTTGTTCATTTTTTAGTCTATTTTAAGATATTCAGGTCACATTTAGAGTTTGCATCCATTTAGGTCATATTTTCATTTGGTCAAGTTACATATGTTGCATTTTAGCTCAATTTAGATGATTCCCCATTTTTGATCTAAACTAGGTGTTCTTTCTAGCATTTTTTCATGCCGTTTTTATTTAGATTAGCTAAGGTTTAGTTCTGGTCATATGTCTTAGGGTTTAGGTTGATTAATTTAGAAGTTTGCATGTAGCATATTAGGTTTTCGATAAAATGCCCTAAAGAGTTTTTGCATGATTTTTACTAGATTTTAGCTTATCTTTTAGGCAACCTTTGATTGCTGTCTTTTAGACATCATTCCATGCATTTCCATGCTATTTTCATGTTAATTTTTGTTCCATGTGTTGCATTCATTTAGGGTTAGGTTAGGATTTTATTTAAGTTAATTTAAAATTTTAAAAAATGCTAATTGTCTTTTTTATATTTTGTTAGGTTATTTTTTGTTTAATTGTCTACTTCTAGGATCTATTTCTCTTACTTATTCTCCTTTTTATTGTAATTTTGTTTCATGTCTTTAATTTTGTGTAGTTTAAATTTTCGGTTTCTAATATACTATTTTCACTAACCTTTTTATTCTTTAAAACTGCCATTTTTAGTAACTTTCTATTTTAGTTCTTACTTTCCATAATTTGTAGATAATTCATGTCTAATTATTTGAAATTTTTATTAGATTAATTTAGGTTAGTTAGTTCGATTAAACATTTTTCATAGGACTAAATATACCCGAAATGTTAAAATCGGTAATTACCTTAGGTCCAAAATTCTCAATTCTTGAAGAAATGGTAAACTAGAATTCTTCCAAACCTTACCACTTGTGTAACCTGTACACTTGCGGTACTCCTAAAGTTTAAGTAACAAAGAGAGAGTAACTTTTCTTGTTTTGACTATTCGACCAAACAAAGGCTATTTATGAAAATATACATGCCTTGCATTAAACCTAATTTAGACAAATGTCCCTTTATAACAGAATATCAAGCTGTCGCCCTTTTTGTAAGTATAATACTCAAGGAAAACACAAGGCATACTTGTTGCAAAAATAAGCTAAGAAAGTCTAAGCAAAAACTTGTGGCAAAACAAGAGGTTTTGTAAATACTTACTAGCTAAAGTGTGGTTTGTGTTCTACCATACCTAGAGAAGGTTCTTTCACAAGTGTTTATGTGGATTACCATTAAAGGTTGAACACTTGGACAGCTTTTTGGCTTGAGAAACTATTTGGAAGATCACCAACTATAACAAAAAAGATTTCGGCATTCAAAGTAACACTCATATCTGAAACCCATGCATGCTTGTATAAATTGTATGTTTGTATGATCTTGTTGATTGATCTTGACTTTTGGGAATTAAAAATTTTAAAATTTTGTTGCTTTAACTCTTATTATTGATGCCTAATTCCTTTTAAGCAGTATCAAATTCTTGTCAATATAGACAATGCAACTTAGAAGTTTGTTTGGTTGTTTATGATATCAATTTTGTTTTGGTTGCAAATTGTTGTTGTGATGTAGATGGTGAAAAATTAATTTTTTCTACATTTTTTCTACATTTTTTGATTAGATTCTTTGATAATATCAAATCATGATGTTTTTTGATGATTGGTTATGAATTCTATGATTTTTGGACATTGTTTGCATATTCTATGAATTTTTCGTTTGCAATATATCCATATCAGAAAAATTATACTATAGTGATATTGCAAAAATTGTTTCTCATATGAGGAATATTGTTTTGCAGCAAAATTTTAATATATGAAAATAGACATATTGATAATCATTGTGTAAATAGTTGAAAATTTTTGGAGTTGATTTGGTCATTTAAAAATTGATGACAGTTTTAACCCATAAATCTATTAGTGGTGGCGGGTATGTATAACAAGCATATGATGCAGCTGGTATTCTTATATGTTAAGAGACTTTAAAAACTTGTTCATCATAATTGTAATGAAAATCTACTTGGTAATCAATATTAGGAATCTTAGGAAATTTGTTCACCAAGATTTCAAGATTTACTATCTTAATCATCAAGTTTAACGGATTGTTTTTGTAAAAGTTGAAGTAATTGTTACTTGTGATTGAAGAATTATGACCAAAAGCATAAGAAAGCATGGGAAAAAGTTTAGAACTTTTGGATGGTGGCTAGTTGGGGCAATATAGCATCTTATGGTCAAAGCTACCAAGTTGACATAAGTACTTCCCTAGTCGTAACTTGCTTCCTATTTTGAATGGGTATTCGGCCAAGACCTAGTTTGATGATAATTCTTATTGAATTTAGATTCCTAAATTGTTTGGGTTTAAGAAATAAGATTACATATAAAAAAATCCAAATTGGACTTTTTAAATTGTATGGATTCAAACGATAGATTCGTTTGCAAACAAAATCATCATTAAATGTGGCTTAGCATGAAAAGATCCCTTATCAAAAGGGATTGATGCCCTAACCTTTTTAAAGCTAAAATTTTAATGGTAGACATGAAAGGATCAATCCTTTAACCTTGGGTAGCCTCTAATAGCTGGTTTCTCAAATGCAACAAATGGCTAATTTTTTTGCTTCAAATTTTTTTCATTAGCTATAAGATCATTTGAACTATAAAAGAAGCATTTTAACACATTTTTTAGGTAAGAGAACAAGAATTAAAAAGCCATATTTTCATTTTCTCAATAATTCAAGAGACCTAATTGTTTTAAGCATAAATTCTTCATCTTTTATATCATATCTTTGTCATTCCACTTTAGTGTACTAAATTAGCAATCATCCAACCTTTGAAAGGTATTTTTAGTCTACAAAATCACTTGTAAATTCTTAATGTTTATATAGGATTAAGCATTAAGGTATCCTCTTAAGTGATTATGAGTTTTCGTACAAACTCACTTTGAGGTTTAGAGGATGCTATTTTAGCCTTTGAAAGGTAAGGGTAGAGAGATTATACCTTAGCCTTAAAAGGTATGGAGTTAGAAGTCATAACTTAGCCTAGAAAGGTAATTATAGAATTGCAAAAAAAAAAATAGTGGATTAGGTTCTTTGGCAAGGGAAGTTAAGGGAGAGGATATATGTGTCGTTGGAGAAGGATCAAACTTTTATAAATTATTATGTTTGATCTTTCTTCCTTAATTCTTTCTTTTTATTATTATGTATTTTTGTTTTAAATTCATTAATTGTTGCTTTTTTAATTAAGTTTATGTGTGGATTGAAGGGAGGGGAGGGAAAGGAAAGAAAAGCTAAGAAATGGGGAAACATTCCTCTTATTTGGTTATCACTTTAAATTATAACAAAAGAAAAGAGCAAGGAATGTGCATCCCTTCCTTTTGCTCAAATGTTCCATTTTTTAATTATCCCAAATTGAAGGAAAAGCTAGGGAAAAGAAATAGGTAAAATTTTTTTAAATATAAAACAACTTTTATGACATTATTTTTATTTTCAATTTTCAAAGAATACATTATAAGCTTGACAAGTTATATTAATATTTATTTTTTATCACACCTAAACTTGTCTTCGTACTTACTTTAGATATAGTTTTCATCAAATTCTTTTATTATGGTCTTCAAATTTATTTTTATAGATTTTTTTATATATCTTTTTTTATTGTTTTTTTTTAGAATATTTTCTTTATCTTATATGAAAACAAATTTGAAATTATTGATTTAGATAACCTACCATTATAAAAGTAATCATATCCTTTATTTTTTAATTTATGTTGGAGTTTATCTTTTTTATATTTTAGTATTATTTCAAAAATTTAGCAAAAAACATGTACATGGAAAAATATATTCAATTGAAAAAATTATAACTATATTAATGAGCTTGTTAAATTTTTAAATAAATACTAATACAAGTATATAATTAATATTAGTTGCTGAGACATTTAAATTTTCTCATTGGAATTAATTTTAAAAAATATACAATCATATAAAGATAGTTCCAAACGTACATTCTTTTATTGATTAATAAAAAATCATCTCTTTTATTGAGTTTTTTTTCATTGTTTTTACTTAAACAATTAATTTTTAAATTATTCACATGATAAATAAAATATTTTATTTAGAAAGGGTATAGTTGACAAAAATATATTATAATAAATCATTTTTTGCTTTTTACTCTTTAACCAAACAATAGTTAAGTTTTTTTTTTCTTTTTCTTTATTAATTTTAGGTGTCTAAACAAGGAATATATGTATTCTTTTTTTTTTTTTTTAAATCTTTCTTTTCTTTCCGTTACTAATATCCAAACTTAGTATAAAAGTTATATTGATTCAAAGTTTTCTATTTACGTTTATTAAAATTTATTTTTTTAAAAAAATTTAGATCAAACTTAATAAATGCATACAACCGGGATTCAAAAAGCTAGTTTGAATTTTTCTATCAGAAATAAAATAAAATGATAACAAGTTTATATCTGAATTTCTAATGTTGCTAATATCTCAATCTCTTGTCCTTAGTATTTTAATCTAATAATTAAGAAAGTTTAGAAGGACATACAAGGTGAGAGCTCAAACCCCAGAATCCTCATCCTCAACCCCCTATCCAATTGACCCAAAAATAAAAATCTCAGTCTCTTTATTTATTATATCATTAATGTTATAGTTGTAAATTCGACAACAATCTAACAAAAACAATTACTACAACACTCTATGATTAAAATCGAATTAAATTAGAAGGTGCTAAAAATAACAATAAAACCGAGAGCGTAACACTAGCCGGTACCCATGGCTTCCAATTATTTGTTCTGTTCCATTATGAGTTCACTGCAAGGAAGAGATGAAAAGGAAAAGGGTAAATATTAGATGCACGATCAAAGTTTTGAAATCAATTGCATTTATATTGTGTTGCTTAATTTTTTTCCTCTCTACCATAAATTTTTCTTTCTTTTTACTGGGTATCCTTACTAACAAACAACTAAGAACAGCATCCCCTCTTTAATTTCACTTGTGGTTTGTCTTGAATTCCACACGTAATTCAATATAAATTCAAAGAATAAAGAAAAGAGAAATAAGAGTTAGATATATGTAAGGTTCATTAGGTCATTGGTGTTATATTGGAAAGATCAATAATATGTGAACAATTAATTAAGTATAACATCTAAACATAAAATTTTATCAATATATATAAAAGGTTGAAAATTTTACCCTTATTTCTATTATATAAATATTTATATGTCTATTCAAAAGTTTATCTATTAATTTGATGAGATTTATCTTCTACAGGCGCAAGTATTTTATTTTTATTTAATTATTCTTGTCATAAGCTTTATATATATATATATTTAAGATTGTCAAAGATTAAATTATAATAAAAAATTTTAAAAATTTAATATTTTATCAACAGATTATGGCTGCTAACATAACTTCACAAATTGATTAAATAATTTTATAAAATAAAATCCGCAAAAAAAAAAAAAGAGATTGCAATGGGAAAAGAAATACCGAAGAGCTTGAGATAGTTCAGCTGCTTTGCAAAAGTCATTATTTTCTCTTGCTTTTAATATTTGAAACATCAAAGCGAGCCGGAGTTGTGTGTTGGCACTCTGCTCGATGATGAGGGCAGTCTCTCTTCGGAGTTGGTTACATTCAGCTTCTACAGCTTTAAGTTTGTCTTGGAGAAGTCTTTGTCCATCTTTGATTCCCTTTTGCTCCAACCTTACTTCTTCCATCTCTGCTTTCAACACTTTCATGTGAGTGTTATATTTTTTCAACTTCCTTCTCTTCTACTCCAAAATGAAATATCATGAAAAAGATCATTTTATTTCCCTTTCCTCAACAATATTAAATTTCATGTATAATTATTATTTTTTGTCAAACTTTATATATTATTATTGTTAAATTCTATGAGTTTTATCAATCTAATGAATTGGGTTTTTTATATTTAATTTTCATTCAACTGTTTTCAATTGAGAATTTCACAACTTTTTTGTAAAAATTCTACTTAATATGCGTTTATCTTGAAAATTTTAAAGTTGAGCAATCAAAGATTTGATTTTATCACATTAAAAATTATTAAAGATAGAATATTCAATTTTAAATATTTAATCAAGTATTGGCCTTATAATTTTAAGGAATTAAAGTGAAATTTGCCATTGTATTGTGACTCTATATTAATTCTGCTATTGTACTTCAATTTATTAAATTTTGCCATTATACTTCAGACCTATCCATGGGCTTGATAGGTTAGGATAAGCCCAATTGGACTTGAGAAAAATTTGTCCAACGCCTAGACTAGCTCGCACTGTTGGATCGAATGGACCCGATTTACAAAATAAATAAATAAACATAAAATAAAATAAATTATTAAAACCATTAAAATTTTAATTTTAGAATAAAATTAATAAAAAATTTTATTAGTTTTTTAATATTCTTGTTGGGCCTAGCCTAGGCTTCAAATTTTGTATCCAAAGCCCAACTTGACTTGGAAAAAGCCTACCAAGCTGGGTGGGTTGTTCAGCCCACGGATTAATGCACTTTTGTTTATTTATTTATTGGATAAGATATCATAAGAGTAACAATATTTCATGAAATATGATCTCTTAATGAAAAATAATCAATTTTGTCAATGAATTTTAATTTCGATGATTTTAGATAAAAAGAAACAGAATTCAAATATTTAATTGAATGTTTTGTTCATACAAATGACAATTTTCTATCAATGTTAAAATTACAATGACAAAACTCAATGAAATTGAATTATAGTACGTCAAATTCTATATTAAACCATAGTACATGTAAATCTAAAAATCATCAATATTACAGTGACAAAACTCAACGAACTTAATGGCAGGTGGGGCATTCATCCCTAATTTTAAAGATGGTTTACGTCTAACTGAAAATCACATGCTAAGTAGACATCATATCGATGTTATTGAAATAGCTATTACAACCCAAATTTCAACCAAATATGGTAATAAACTAATAGCTGTAGTCTAACTGAAAGTGGACAAGTTGAATGGATTAGATAGTAAGAGATCAAGTATAGTTTCGTTATGAGAAAAGAGATGGCTTTTGTTGGGTGTAAAGGTGTCTATAAGTCAAGTTGGGTGGGGTTTGATTTAGGTTTAAGTATGGTATTAACATCTTATATGCTTATTTGAATTCAACCTAACATAATAATTTGGACTTCAAATTTTACTTAAGCAAATTCAAATTATTTTATGTTACAACATGTATCTGCTTATATATATATATATTTAAAAATGTATTTTTATTTAATTTTTAGTATTTTTGTGTTTTTCTCTTATAAGTTTTAAAACAGGTATAACTTAACATGTTTTTTAATATTTATAGTGTAATATTATATATTTTTATATAATATAAAACATATAATATATGAATATAAAAATAATATATTATATAATAAAATTGGGTTGTGTGTGATCGGGTTGAACTTTAAATGTTTGGAGAGGGATTTTGGGTTAGAGTTCATTTTGCCACCGTTAATAAAAAATTTTCATATTATGGTGTGATAAACTATTCCTACAGAGATAACTTAAAATTTATTCGTGATGAAAAAAAAAATCTAAATAATGACGAAATAAATACCTTATGACCCCTTGGCCACGATCTTGAATTGAGTGCTCTGGTTATGAAGGGACAGACGTTCTTGAATTGATCCTGTGAACCCATCTTTCCTTACAAGCCCTGGTTTGATGGACTTATCAATTTAATCAATGTAGTGTTTGTCCATGGATGTTCCTCCTATGATAAGCCGATATATATAGTACTTATATTCCCGCATTCCCTACACGCTTAGAAGACCCAACAATGTGGAAGGAATCGAACGATTGGTCGTACAATTAAGTTGATTATATCTCAAGGAAATGAACTGTATTTGGAAACACTTGTCGAGGTTGTTGTACCGAATTGTTGACCAGCGTAAAAACATTTCTAACGGATAGTCTACACGCTTGATTCGGTGAATTCAAAATGAATTGATTGTTATATCACTATTCGGTGACTTCAAGGTGAAAAGCTCATGTTTCTAGTAAAATTAGTTATGATATTCTAACAAAAGCAGAAAGCATTGATCCTTTTAACAGCAAGACTACATGTGGATGCACTGTAGGAACACATGAAAAGATTTAAGATGTGATTCGCACTTCGAAAAATGGTGTACATGACTTTGCTTTTGTTTACACAAACAGAAGTTTCCTTGACCAAATTGGCCATTAACGTCGAATTTTTTTTTTTTATTTTAATTTCCTTGAGTTTTTCATTACAATTCTATTTTTTAACATAAAAGTAATGTAATTGATGAAAATTTGTCATTTGTATTAACCAAATATTTTGGACATAAAGTACTGTAACCAAATTATTTTATTACTTTTTGTCCAAAAAGTAATAAAATTGACATACAATATGAAATTCAGTATTAAATCATGATATAGTGATAAGTTCGACTTTAATTTTAATAAAATTTAGAAAAAACATTACAAAATATTTACGATCAATTCAGCAAATCTGGATAGAAACTAGTCTAAATCTTCTATTAATTCCTGTCAAAATCTCCAAAGAAACAAGAAGCTTAAGAGGAAATTGATGAAATGGACGAATACTAGGCTTTAGATATAGGAGGAGGAGGAAAGGAAAAGAAAGGTTTGCAAACTTCGGATCCTAACGAAATGAGAATCAAAATGGTATCTGTTGTGGAGTGTATTGATTTGTGGTAATTAGGCACCAATGCATAAACTGATAATAAATCATTAATTAAGTTATATATATAAAGTCAATTAATAGAGTTTTTGTGATGATTGGATTTTTTAATAGAGTTTCGCTTTCAAAAACTAAGAATGGTCAAAAACTATGAAATCGAACTCCAAGCTGTCTCTCGCCCGATCGTTTCTGAGAACGAACGAAAAACCGCGCGTCCCTTACAATTTGTCAAAGTATCGTTTCATATCATACCACACCACTCGCACGAAATCTGCCGGTTCATTTACTAGGACCCACAAAAAGCGCCCGATTCTAACGATTATTTGTTAGACAAAATGTGATGTTTTATTTTTTATTTTCATGAAATTTAATTAGTCTTGAAATGATTAATTTTGGACTAAGAAACGTGTTTGAGACAAAAAAATATCATGTTTTAGCTAGGTATGCAACTTTTATTAGATTTGAACACGAGAGTTTGACTCAAGCCTGTTTGTGTTCTAAACATGAATTTTTAAGCTCATATCTAGCTAGTTCAGTTGGTGAAAATATTTTTATTAAAATTTTAAATATTTTTAATATTAAATGAAAATTAAATAGATTTAAATAAATCAGTATTGCATAAACCATTAAACGTGTCAACTAAACCTTATTCATAAACATCTCTATTTATGATTAATCATCCAACATAGAATAAATGAATAATATTTCAGAGGAGTTAAGCTCAAATTTGGTACATTATTATGGTTAGATGTTGAAATCAACCGTTGCACTTAAAAGTTTATTGAATTTGTAGGTAAACTTTCATTGTCTCTAATTTTGGAACACAGAATAACAAAACCAGAGTATTCGTTAATTCAAATAAAATAAAAAAAGAACTTATTTTCGTCAATTTTGTTCAAAATCAACAAAAGAAAATATATTTGTGAAATTGAAGGAAAGTAAATACAGACTCATAATATGGTGGCCATGAACCGAATGAAATAAAAATACTTCATATTTAATCAATATATGATTTTATTTTACCAACATTTTAACATCTTCTCCATAGAAGTAGAGACAATGCTAAAGCAGAATGTGATTGTTTAATGTGAAGCAGTCCATCGCGCGTTGTTCTCAATACATCGTACTTGATCGGTCGAGAATTAAAAGATAAAAGAAAAAGGTTACGGAACTTTGGAATATCCAAATCCCCTACGCAAGAACTTTCCTGGAAACTATAAAACAAATTCTCATTTTCTCACTCTCGCTATCTTCATTTTGTTTTTCATATATCCAATTGCAAAATGGCGCCAACACAAATGGAAAGTGGTCGGAAAGTTCCCATGAATAAAAGCCTTTCGTTTTTGAAGAAAAGAGTGAAGGTACTTTCTATTAAATTTTCAGCCTTATCTTCATAATCTTTTCCCTTATTTGATATCTTTGATTCTTTTATTCTTTTCTTATGATGTCAAAAAGAAAAAGGAGAAGGAATTGAGGCGCTTGAAAGCAGAGTTAGCTGAGCTTAGAGAAATGCAATCCAAGAATTTAGAGCTGGCAAGGCTTCATCACGAAATTCTTCGTATGGAAGGAATGATTCGATCGGTGGCACGGTCCAATACTTTGGCCAATTACTTCGTTCAAGCAGTAGTTGCAACTTGGAAAGATTAGAACAAAGGCAATTTCATCACATATCCCTCTGGTTGGTTTCTTTGTACTCTCACCTTGTTATCGATTTTATGCTTTATTCAACCCTTAGCCAACGGTAAGCCTTCTTCTACTTTGGTTTTTTTTTTTTTTCTTTTTGACTTTTTTTGTCAGAAAGGTTCTCTATTGCTTCAATCACCGCTGCTACTATAGTCAAAAGGAAGAAAAAAAAAAGAAAAAAGAAATTCAAAGAAAAAAAAGGAAGAATAGAAAAAAAAAAAAAAGCGAAACTGGGAAAAAAGGAAAAAAATTGAAAAAAGAAAAAGAAAAAAGCTTTATCATAAAAAACAAAAGAATAAATTAAATAGAGTACCATGAACAATTAAAGAAGGAAGCCTTTATCTTAAAACATAAATTCAGTTCTTCAATGTTCAAAGAAAACGATACAAAGAGAGACTACTTAAAATCACTTCGAAAGAAAAGAGAGAGAGAGAGAGAGAGAGAGAGAGAGAGAGAGAGAGAGAGAAAAGAAAATCATGTTTGCTTGTTTGTGGAGAATTCTCTTAGTCTTTATATATAAATATATAAATATATATATATATATATAGGTACGAAATCGAACAAGAGCTTATTTGATAGCGTGATGGAAGAGATTGTTTTATAACTAGATTTCTAAGACTGCATTTACAAAGCTGTTTCAAAGTTCGAATGCGGTAGGAGGTGCATAAGCCCCATTAAAACGAAGCTTAAGTCCTCATTTGAATGGGCGGTGCAGTACAGTGGGGTCCAATGCTATTAGGCTAGTATTGCAGTGCCTTTAGTGCACTATAAAACCTTCATTATAGTGCACAGTACTCATCCAGACGAAACTCAAGGAAGTGTTTACGCTCTTCGCTTTTTATAATTTGAAAACTAATTATGAGTGATTTATTATTTCTCATTATTTTATTTGTTGATTATAATTGCTTGCTAATGTTCCCATTTAATTTTGATTTGTCTACTAGTTTTAGTTATACACATGTATGAGCAATTTTTATTATGTTTTAAGAGCTTTCTCTAGTAACATTTTACATAGTATGTTGATTAATATCTTGAATGCAGGTTTAGTCACTGAGATGAGACAACTTTTGAACAGTTCTCAGTACAACCATCCTAAAACAATCACCATATAGTCCATGTGCAACATGGTTATCTTGTTTTCTTTGTAGAATTTGTTATCACCTCTTGTCCTAATTTTGTAATACAAGTGCATTTAATTATATTGACCTTTGGTCTGTTTTTTTCTTTCTTGTAAGGCTAAAATATTTATTAAAAAGGAACAAAAGTGATTATAAAAATGCAAAAAAAAAAAAGAAGAAAATTACAACCAATAAAATTAGATCCTAATCTTTACTATCCCTTTGCTTTACAAGATTGGAGTTAGCAATACTAAAATATTCTTAAAGAAGAGGAGAAGAGCACCGCCGTTGCTATCACGTTAAACTCCTCCAATACCTGTTAGTAGACCTTAGAATTTAAATTTAAAAACAATGTAGTGACACATTTAAACGATACAAATGATGATATCAAAGTGATAAGAATTAAAATTTTAACAAAAATTTTATATGAGTTTAACAATAAAAATAAAAAAAATACTTTTTATATTTTAATATTTATATAAATTATGACATATAATTTTATATAAAACATGATATAAATACATAAACTATCAATATTTTATATAACACAAACTCTTGAATTACTAAATCTACTCCCTATAAGAACCATTTGTTTTGAATTTAACAAAGGAATGCAAAGGTGGATTCCAAGTCTAAGACTTTGAGATTTTGGTAAAAAAATGGCTAAAAGAGATAGCAAGATTACAAAGAAAATCATTAATGGTGTAATCTACTCGCTATAAGAACCATTTGTGTTGAATTTAACAAAAGAATGCAATGGTGAATTCCAAGGTAGAGACTCTGAGATTTTCCTAAAAAATGGCTAAAAAGAGAGTAATATTGCAAAGGAAATTTTTAATGGTGTAATAACTAGGTCATTTTGCCTTAAACCACCACCAAATCCTTGTGTTAATCAAATCACAGATTTGATCATAAAAATCCCTCTCCATTGAACTTTAAATCATTCCTAGTAAGCCATAATGGCCAAATAATTGCTTAAAAAGATATCATCCACACATCATTCTTGGACCTCCAAATTGATTAAGAATGGCAAGAGCAAGAACTGAAAGGATAAATTGTTAGGGAGAACACAACTGCAACACCACCAATAGTTCTAACACGTAGACCAAAATTTCAATGCAAATTAATTTCCTAGTATGAAGTATTTGATTGATGATTCAACCTGACCACACAAATAGCATAGATTATCAATGTTGCGCAAGCTGCCTTATCTT